GTTTAAAGGTTTAATAAAATTAAATTTTTCATCATTATTGTTGCTATACATTCAGTTACTAATTTATAGAATACCTAGGTATAGTTAGAGTATCTGTGTTCAGAAATATTTTAATACACACACACACATATATATATATATATATATATAAAGTTAAATTACATAAAAAAATAACTAAGTATAAGACGTAGTATAAGAGTTGAATAAACAATTTTAATACAACTTTACATTAAATTTAAAAAAAGTTAATTAATAAATAATTAATTTTTAAATTGGTAATAGTATATAAAACAATTACATACCATTTATTTTTCTCTATTCTTATCATTCAATGTTTGTATATACAATGAATTAATTATACTTATATAGTAAGAATAATTAAATGGTCAATACTCGTAAATTAATATAAAAATAAATACCTAAACAAATAGTTAAATAAATAAAATAATAAATTGGTAATTAATTGTACAGATTAAAATTTTTTTTAAATTTTTAAATTAAGATTAATATACACAATTAGGCACGAATTTGTGCATTTTGGCAGTAAATTGTGACGTAGGAGTATGATAATAATAATAACAATAATAGTAATAAAAAAACTGACCGGATACTGCAGTGTTGAAGTGCGTTTGTCTTTCATTGCTTATCGTTTTTCGGACAGGATACTACTAGTGACGAATATACGGGGGGAGGGATATGCTTTGAAACTAAGTGCCATATAGGACGGATGTTCTATAGTTATATAACTAATCTCAATTTAAAAACAACTATAAACAAATGTATTCGAAAAACTATATTCTTAATGATATGCTGCTTTAACTGTTTTAAATACTAAACTTTTAATACAGAGTTATGTTGTATTTTAATCGGTTTTACATGTTAAATCCTACTATTCAAAATTTTAAATTATAATAAAATTGTACTAAAAATGTTTAGTATTTAATAATTCGAAATTGTTGTGAGAAAAAAAAAGTTTTTAGTCTTGATTTACGATATATTTTAAATGAAGCGTTAACACTCCTAGTTTTATTACTAGAAGGTAGATTTCTTAAATGTGCCCATAATTGCGTAAACAATATTTTGTATTCATCAGACATCTCAAACACATCCAATGATTTATCAATAATTCTTGTATTTGTAAATATAGATCATTCATTCTTAAAAATAATTAAAAAATGTTATGAGCAGAAATATCGAACTTTTTTCCTGATACCTACTTAAATAAGATAGAATAGGTACAACTAAAAATATAATATAAGCCGCTTCATTGGGAAACAATCATTCAAAAATTTTGAAAATGATAATCGTTTTGTAAATAATTTTGTATGCTTATATAGGTATTTCAACAAGTATGATAATTTATAATTTTTAATATAATGACTTATAGTTCTTAGTATACATATGATTTATGGACTCAATATGGTTAAAAAAACCACCAAATATTTTTAAGTACAAATGGTTGATTTGTATTCATATCTGTTAAGTATTTTACTAGTACATCCATTACTTTAAATATTACCTTTATTTAAAATATGTATATTACCATATTTCTATCATATGCGCACATTGTGTTTGAATTCAGGGGGTGCTGGAATAATTTAAAATACACAGGTCCGTGGGGGGCTTTGCCCCCCTCCACACCCCCATAGTACTATAATCAACTGCGTTGCCATAATTTTTAATTTTTATTAATGAATATTTAAAAATAATTATATTTTAAGTTATAATAATATGTTATTATTTATAATATATTAAACAAGAATTAATTTCCTGTTTGATGATGCAAATTTTTCCAATATAATTTTTCCATCTATTTTATTGGTAAAATTTCTCTCAATGCTAAGCGTAGTTAGCTTAATAAATCTTTCTTGGCCTATACTAGTACGTAACCAATTTTTAAATCTACGCATAGCTGAAAAGGAGCGTCCACACGTTGAAAAAGAAATTGAAATTGTCATTACCACTTGAACTAGTTTATAAATATTTGGAAAGGAACTTTTATTACATTGATTTTTCAAGTCTTTAAATTCAAAGTTGGCTGATAGACTATTCTTTAAGACTAGCATTTCTGCAAATAAATTAACTGTCGATATATTCAAAATTACCTGATTTGTCAAAATAATGAACTAGTATATAAAATGTAAGTAGTAATGAATCATATCGTTTGTATGATTGGTAATAATATTTGTCATTTCGCATACAATTCTGCGTGGCCCACTGGTTAAATATTACTAAAAGCCAAGTAATAATCAAAGTTATAAATGGAACATAACTTCGTAGCCAACCGTAAACCGCAGATAATATAAGAATATAAAGTAAGATAATATGATTTTCTATGATATTTTGATTGCTGTTTATAGTTCAATAGTTAGACAAAAACTGAAACAGTAAAACGTGCATTTATACAATTGTACTGTTATTATATATTATTGTCTATAGTGGAAAAAAATATCCAACTAAAATACTGAAATAAATATTATAAAATAAAAAATTAAATAAATATTAGGAAACTGGGGGTGCTAAGCAATCCCGAGCACCCACCTATGTGCACCAATGATTAATATATATATAATCGTATTTTACTAAGAGTTTCTTTCAAACACCTCAAACCTTCAAATATACTTTGAAAAATTATAGTTTTAAGTTAATAATTATTTTACCTTATAAGCCATAATATTTATGTACAATATTGAATAGCTATGCTTATTAATATTTTACTGAAAACAAGGACAATTTGTTTTAAACATTTTGAGAAGATTTCGGTAGAAATTAACTTAAAATAATTTTTCGGCTTTAATAATTTAAAAATATTTAAGAAAAATACTGAATTTAAATAAATACAAATATACCTATTTCATTATAGTTGACATTTTAAATTTATAACAACTTTTATATGATTAATCATTTTTGAAATTTTAAATTTAATTGTTTCAATTTTTTGGATTGATCAACCGATTTAGACTGTGAAATCCTTGCAAAATATTCGTGGAGCATATTTATTATTAGTGACGAACTTGTAATGGAGATACAAAGGTCCTCGTATTTCGACAACGATCTCTAATAGTCGTTTCATTAATATGTATAGATCCGAAGTGAAATCTATTAAGTTAAATAAAAATTACATTTTAAAGGATTCTGTACATTTTTAACTTTCCATTGAACGACTAATTGTTAGATTATATGTTGTCTGAAAAACAGCAAATAGGATTATGTACATTAGTCATTAGTAAAGTACGGATTTTGAAGGGATTTGCTTTTTTTTCTATTGCTTTGAAACGAAGCTATGTCAGCTACAAATTCGATTTATACTATTAGAATAAAATGCACGACATTTTATTTTGCTTTTTTTGCGTTTTTTGTTATATTTTTTCAAAATGTGTTCTAAATAAAAATGTTAATATTTAATTTGTATTATATAATGTGGTTCAAACCTTGTTCAATCATTTATTGACAACTTTTACCCGTGTGTTAATTTTGTCACGAACCGTATGGTACATAGTATATTAATATATCTTGAAACGACAGAAGACACAAAAATATGCTTTTGCTCAAAAAATTATCAACTCAGAATTACAGTTTAGTTTTCGTTGTAACACCGTATTGTAATTTACAAAATGCCAAAAATTAATGACTTTTTTTTTTAAAAAACAATTTTTAATGTTTTGTTTAAACTTAATTGGAATATTTATACAGCTTTATTGTCTTTTTAAGCGCTTTTCTCAAGTTTTTTATTGCTTTAAAATCTGTATTCTAGTCATTAATGTACAACAATATAAGAAGGCAATGTGTGTGTACCTACTGAATAATATGGAGCGCGTGCGAACGTACACAAACACACACACTTTTACTTGTTTGGTATGTATTTTACGAATTTATTTATTTGAATTTATAAGGTTGTTTAATTTTTTTTTTACAAATTATCAATTTCGTGAGAACCACTAACCCTCGTTTAATTCAACGAAATGCAAAGTACCTGTGAGACGTCAGTAAAAAAAAAAAAAAAAAAAAAAACAATGTTTGTGACTTCCGTTCAATCGTGTGTTATAAAATAAACGTTTATGTGTCATGAATTATTATGGGTCGTCAAGCTTACTCGATACGATATTACGTAGGTACTATGACACGAACAAGTTTTTATGACTATACAACAAAACTTAATGTTTCGTGTTGTTTTCGGAGCACATTTTAAGGCGTGTATTACTTTATGTGTTTTATCAACGACGCAGATTTTAACGTTACATTTATCTGGTGTTTTCCCGGTGGCGCTCCGAAAAGTGTTTTTCGTCCTGGGAAGGGAGAATGCGTTTAAAAAAGCCGTTTAGAAAAAAAATAGGATCCGGGTAGAAATTAAAACCGAAACGTCGCGACCCGGCAAACGATGACTAATAATAATAACAACGATAAGTATGCATCATCCGTGCACCGCGTAGTGGTGCGCGCGAGCGGACAAAACAGTGGCAATTTCGGCGGGCGCGAAGGGCGAGCAACGCGGCTGTAAAAGGGTGGTCGGACCGCTGTGCAAGGAAAGGGGGTGAGGAGAGCACGCGAGTGTGACGGAGAGATAAACCGTTTCGGGCGGCGGCGAACGTTGGACGGAAGCGCACGCGCACGCAACGACTGCTTTCCCATCGGCGGCGACGGCGTCCGCGTGCACGACGACGCGCGAATGACACACCGGCGGCGGCCGAAAGGCGGTGGGGGCGATTTTTCGGCGCTCTCTCCTCTTCGCGTGAGCCCCGTCGCGCCCTCTACCCGCGCGCGCGCACACAACAGCCGTCACTTACACGCGTACGTACGTACGTAAAAGCACATAAGCGTATATGTATATATATATGTATTATTAATATACGAAGGATGGACGGACGGGTGGAAGAGGACCCTCCTGATGGGCGGAAGCGGCGGTCGGTCGAGGGGTGTACGTCCGCCCGGCGGGGGGGGGGGGGGGGGGGAACGCGAGCGCGAATACGCCGACGGTCGCAACGCGCGGGGCCATACGCGCACGCATACCGGACGCAGCACGACGTGGTACGACCGCGACGGCCGACCGCTCGTTATTTTTTTCACTTGATCCCGTTCCGGCGGATACGAGACCGAACCGCGTACGTCGTTGTCGTCCGTACGTTGTTGTACCCGTCGATCGTGCCCACCCGGGTTCATCGACGCGCCCGGAAAGTGTCGAAACCGAAAATCGATTCGGCCGACGCACCGGTAAGGGGGCACGGAATCGCCGATTTTTTGAATTTCCGACAACCGTTAACAATCGCGGAGAAACCGTTGCCCACTCGTAGCTTGCACGCGTTCACACAATTGCCACCGCCTGTCCGCCGACAGCAAGATAGTAACAGTATTAATTGTATAATATCTACGAATTATCCCTAACATGCCGGCACGAGCCACGCGCGACCACGCGTCTACCGCGATTCTGTACAGGTAACGATTTTTTTTTTTTGTTCATCTATTTTATTTATTGTCCGATATTATTTTATCGTTTTGCGCACAACGTGAGTACGTTACGTCTGCCGTGTTTCTGTATGTATGTTTTAGTTTTATCACATCGTATTCGTCGTTTGCACGCATTCGATTGGATTGGGGTCCGGAGAATTGTTTGCGACGGGGGCTTAAGCGCTCCTCCTTTCGGTTACGGTGCGTTTTAGCCGTTATACAGCTGCGTACGATCCTTTGTTTACTTTTTTCAAATACCAATACATTTATTATATATATATATATATATATATATATATATTATTACTTATAGGGGGAAAAATAACAATCACTAAAATCCGAGGTAAAATCTTATTTTTCTTCGTCTACAGCTGCACGGTCCTGGGACGTGCATTAATCACGCGTTACCAATAGTAAACAATTTGAATAATTTTCAACGTCAACCGTATGTGCTACAAGTAACTCCTCGTTGTGATATTACACCGTAGTACACTATTTAGCCTCGTCATCTCTGTATGGGATAGAAATTACCTCTAATAAGTCGATTATTCAACATCACGATAATCGGTGTACATATCTCGGTAGCACAATATTCGCTAGATTCGTTTGCCTATAAGAGATCGATTACATGAAAAAAAACATCCTTGGTACAGTCAGTTTCTTGATTTTTTAATGTTTGAAATCGGTACAATGTTGTTATGAGCATTCCGGCGAAGTCTTAGGTCTGCAGAGGACATACGGTCTGTAGGAAAAAATATCACTTATAATCCGATAAATTATTAATATGTATATGTGAACGTGGTCGTGCACGTGAAGAGGTACTTCCGCAACAATATATTTTTTTCCCGATTCCGATCGTGAATTTTTTCCTTCACGATTTCGCATACGAGTTGCGGTATACCTCCGGTGCGAGTGAACATCATCATGCCGCGACGGTGAAATTATAATACCAATATATTGATCATCCCCGTTAGTCGTTGTGTATAGCGCGATATTATATGCATAGTACGAGATATATCGTGGAAAGCATAACAGTATACTGTCTACCTTTTAGCAGCGGCTCGGTTAAAAATGCATGCCTGTGAATGTACATAGTGTAATATGAAAGCTTACCATTCTGCCCAATAAAAGCGAATCGTAGTTTTTTGTTCAGAACACTGCCCATTTCGTGTACAAATTATAATTTATTCTTTCGATCCGATTCGACCACATTTTTCATATTTTGCGGTTAACATGGCAGTGCGCCCTTATAAAAATATACTTTGTCGGCGATTTAAAATTTAAAATCTCAACACCGAATTTTGTCTTCACACTTTACGGTGCAATAAAATGATATTAAATTTGTTGTCAAATTAACCGTCCCAAAATCGTGTAGACGAATATTTCAATACTACTATTATATTACTTTATATATTCTCAAGATGAAGTACAATATACAAAACAAATAACTATTTATATGATACGCACATAATTTAATCGTTGTATAAATATCTATATAACATTCAATACGTTATTTTATTCGTTTAACTATTAAACTGGTTAAAGTATCGTTTTAATAACCTTTATGAGGCAAAACCCAACAAAATATGACAATAAATTATTTTATTTATAAAAATGCGATTTATTTCATCAGATTATGTTCTTTTTTTTTTAACTTTGGAATCAATTTATGAAATAATTTATGATTATTACTGTTATTAAAATGTTTAATTGCTCAAGGTGCACACGTAAATGTACGATTATAAATGTATACGAGTATGTTTTAACTTTAAAGACGTGTCTCCTATGAATAAGTACAACAATTTTCAAATCCCGGGAGAGTAATAAATCTTATGGTCATAATAACATTAAATTTTAGTTAAAAGTTATAAATGTTCTAAAAAACATTGATTTCAGAAAAATTTCATTTTCCGAATAATCAAAACATCCGATCTATCATAGTGTAGAAAATAAATTTGTAACTAAAGTTTTCATGAGATAGATAACTACGAAAAGAATGTACGTCATATAGTATTAAGATTTTGTTCTAATTCTACAATGGTGTTCCTCCGCCAAAACCGAAATTCTTTTTCCGTGTAAAATTGGAAGATTAAGTTGTTTAGTAGTCTGATGGTCAATGCCAAGAAGGCTTGTTGCCAAATAATTCGATGGAAAAATTATTTTCCGAACGCGTTCTCGTGTTCTCGCGTTTTCAACTTCACTATCATCAACGAGACATTGCACTTGATATGAAAGTTGTGTGTACACTATTAACGTAATAATTCAAGTAAATAAATAGATCATGGTGACGGGTATGATAAACGATTTTAGATCAAAGCATAATTTGATATTAATTGCATGATTGTGACGCTTCCTAATATTATCCTAATATTATCGCGCGTTAGAAAGAAAAAATAATCGTTATTACTATATTAGATTTAGCCAACTTAAAATAACTGAATATTGTAACCTTATAATGCATAAAAATTTGTTAAAACTGGTAAACAATTTAGTAAAAAGCTGTTTTTATGTTTTTACATCGCATTTTAATAATTAAACAGAAAATGCTAGTACACTGTACGTATTTCCGAACTAGGTTGATTTGTTGACTTGTGATTTTGTTTGAATAATCAACTTGCCGCCGTCAGGTGATGAACGATAAATAAAAATTATAGCCGTTTACCCATGAACGCGTTGGATTAAAATTAACATTTTACCACGTAGAAATGATCGTAACTTAAAATATTATCGTACACTGTTATGCACTGTTCATTGTTTGACAGTCAACTCGAAATAGTACGAAACAATTTGCACCGCAAGTCTAGCTGCGGCGGTAACGCAACACTGTACATATGTTTCGCATGAGTTTTTAAATATTTTAATTAGTCAGTAGAGTTAGAGCTGTTGCTTAGAAAAATATGCATGGATTCGCGTATCACAGTGCGTATAAGTGTAAAAGGCTTTATGAATTCCTAACCCGCATAATAATAGTTCATGGTTCTCGGGGAAATTATAATATTACGAGTGTTTAAATATTTTTTCTCCCTTCTGGACACACAATGGCACAACGCAAACGAAAAAGGCGTTGTATTGGGTTTCTATAAGAATGTAAGAGTCTAGCGATAAGTTTGTCGTATAAGTTATTGTTTTTCGTTCCCGCACACCCACCCATCTCTGCAGTTGTGTTTTCGGCGGACGGTACAAAGAAAAACGAAAATATTCCGTATTCGGTTTTAACAACGAATTGTCATTATTTATCACGCGGATGCACGGGAAAAAACGCGCACGCGCACGTATTTACTTCGAAATCGATTAACCGGCCAAATATTATTGTTGTTCGTATCCAACGTGTGTAGGTTGTGTAGGTACATTACGTTATGTAACGCACTCAACTCCGCTAACGTCAACACGTAAGATTCTGAGATAACGGCCGTTTAATTCCAGTGAAAATCCTTTTCGAGCTCTAATGCGGAAGACCATCAATCAATCATGTGTTCATCCACCTGAACAAAATCCGACACATTGATAATTTTAATCACCGCGCGTCATCGAGATGAATTCGTGAACAATGCGTCCTATTTGTTTTCGCCGCGCAGGTTAAATCTGTAAAAGCTAAATCGGTATCGAAAGCTTTTTAAAATCATTACACAGACTGTGCTCATCTGTATTTTCGTATACGTGCGCGAGTGTGTGTACAATTGTTTCCGTGCTTTTTCCTCGGTTTTCCAATCAATGGAAAATGTACGTATTCCACGGACACGATGTCATTTTGGAATGATGGCGATTGATAATTCTGTTATAAAAACGATTAGAGTATGATAATCACTACTACTCGAATTTACATAACATCATTAGTTTTTACCGTAATACGATGCTCTGTCGACAGAACGTTTTATATCCAATGGTTTTTGTCAAACGTAATATATTTTTTACAGTAGAATCGACTTACACTATTAGGCGGTCGCGATTTTACGTTGGCAGTACAAATTATTTGCACGTCGTTTATGTAATTTGATCGTTTAACAGGTACCTAATTTAATTTTTACAACTCTTTTGAATTGCAAAATGTTTTAAATTACTTGAGTTTTAAGAAGTAATTAATAGAACTGTTGCCATTAGTTTTCGTTAACGATTTTTCGATCAATAATTAATTACACGTTTAACAAATGGAAATAAATTTCCAAGATCAACCTAAAGTATTTTCGTTCAAAAAATAAAAATAAATTAACATTTAACGTAATTGAGCGTACCAACGAAGCTGTTGGAAGTCTACGTTTCTAGTGATAATCAGTTATCGATTAGCGATATTATATTTTTTACAGAAAATTCTTGCCGGCGTTCACTTTTAAGTGTATATGTATACGTGACATTTTATTGTACAGTCCTGCTCGAGGAATGACAATATCAAGTCCCTATAATTACACTTGCACGCGTTGGCTTTCCGGTTATTATTTGTATGTCATTATGCTGTACTGCTTCCTCTTATTTTACTTTACGAGTTCGCTACATTATAACTATACTGTCTGCCAGTGATCTAAATATAGGCGTCTTCAAATCCTACAGCGAATCGCTCGATAAAAACAACTGTTTCATGTCCCCAACCAGTGCGGTCCAAACATAATAATACAATAGCGTGTTCAAAGATCGAAAACGATCAAAACGACTGGTACACGTATACCGATGTTTGGCGCTGAAGGGTATTTCTAATGTTTCCGTGCTGCCATTCGATGCCCGTATGAATGTGTACTATTGTTTATAATGGGCTCCAACATGAGTCTTCCCTTCAATTTTAGGTGTGAATAAAATTAATCGTTACGGATACGTAGACATTATTTGAAATCCACATTATACAAATTCTATAAATATATTTTTACTGACACATTACACGTAATACGAGATTTACTAAACGTTTAAGAGACGTTAAAATAAAACTTTGCTTTCGACGTCGATATCCAAAATTTGTTTTTTTTTCTTTTAAATATACATTTTAATGGATACGTTGAATTATT